AGAGTGATGGGAACTTGTTTTACTTGAGACTTCCTCTCCTCCATGGCCATGGAAAACACTAGGCAAAAAAAAAAAAGAAAACCAGAGAGAAAAATCGCTACCGAAACACTACACAAAAAAAAAGAAGTGGTATGTGAGAGGTAAACTTCCTTGTGGAATGAGGAGCATCTCCCAGCGTCCTTCCAGTGGCAGGAACTACTACTAAAACTTCAAGTGGTTGGAGGAGAGGATGGAAATATGTATGATGTATGTATATGTACATGTGATGACAGCTAAAACCGCCAAAGTGACTGAAAGCGCGAACGTCGTTGCCGTTGCTTGTTGTGGCATGTGTGTGTGGCAACAACAACAACAACAAGAAACGCCAAAGAGCAGCTAAAGAGATTTGCATTTGTTTTTACTTTCTTTCCACACTCGCTATTTTTCCTCTTTTTTGTTATACCCTTGCAGGGTATTATAATTCTAGTCACAATTTTACGACATATAAAGTTTATATATTTTTGATCAGCATTAGTTATAACTTAAGAAATGTGCTAAAGATCAACACAACAACGAGTAGCGAAGGCAGGCAAACACTTCTAATAAATATGACGAGTTTAAAACTAAAACAACGAGTGCGGACGAGTTTATAAAACAACGAGTGAAGACGAGGAGCAATCTAAGGCAGCGAAACAGGACACCGACAACGAGTAAGCAGGAAAAAAAGACAGCGAACTGACGAGTAAAGGCGATGCGACGAGAACAAGCCAGAGAAAGTAATTAATAACGAAAGTGTTTCTTAGGCAGTACAAAAGGTAAAGATGAAGGCCGAAAGATAGAGCTTTTTGGTTTTATTTCAAGCCAGCATATCTTTCATAAAATAATTATTAAAAAACATATTTTTTATTGAAATAAAAAAATAATTCCACCGAAAACACTGCAAAGGGTATAGAAACTGCGGCTTCCCGTAAATACAACATCTCCTGCTTGTGTCTTTTTTCCAATGCAATTTTTCCTCTAGCTTTTTCCGCTCTCTCTCTCTCCGCCTCTCTCTCTCATCCTCTATGTCGTTTTTTTGGGGTTCCCCGCTTGCAGCTTATGCAAAGTGCATGGCTCTCGGGTGCCGTTGCATAGATCCCCATAAATGCACACACACACACAACCTGCATGGCCGTGTGTTAGTGCCAGTGCGTGTGTATGTGTGTGTGTGTGTGTGTTTTGTGCTACTCAGAATGTGCATCAAAATTCAAGCGACAACCTGAGGCATTTTTGTGGGAAGCCCCCTCAAAAGGCCAGAAAACCATCAGCGATTATGTTGGAAAATCACCCAAAATCACAAAAATTGCAGGGGTTACTTTTTATGATTTCTTTTTCTGGTTTAGGAAATTAACTACTATTTATTAAGTGAATATATCTTAGGAAGAATTGTAAAGAAGGGAATAGGACTCTGATTAATACATATTCTAGGTAGTCAGGACTGATTAAAATGAATTTTTATAATTTATTTTAAGATTAACCCTTTTTTCTTTGTATTAAAGTTCTGACAAGCTTTTAAGTCCCTTATTTATTTTACAAGCAAAGTCAAATTTAAGGTAATAGAACCATTGAAACCAAATCTGGGACACAGCTCAAAGGTCGATTGCTTAGATCACCATTTGACCTGTTTCCGGTCATTAAATTAGAGGTCACCAGAGGAGAGTTTGGCTTTTAGCTAGCATTTATCCACCCGCCAGTATTCTCTTTAGCTGTAATTTGCCAATTAAGACACAACAAACAATGAATATATACATATATATCGAGGTATATATATATACACCCGAGGCAGTGACATTTTCACGACTAATTTTGCGAATCCTCCGGCCATAAAACACAAGCACAGGACTTTCTGAGGCCAAGACAGAGACCCAAAAAAAAGGCTGTAAATAGCAGAAGCCAGCAGAAGGACCAAGGACGAGGGCCGCCCCCAAAAGTAAGTTCATAACATTTCATTCTTTTAGCTTTTTTCGGCTCATTTTCCTTGGGGGGTTGAGGGGGCGAAAAACAATATGAAACCGATACTTGAAACTGTCAAATGCAGGACAGGAAAGGAGGCGCGTCAGGAGGAAATATTACGTGTACCTGGAACTTGGTGGGGCACCTGGAGAACCCGGGAGAGTTTTCGTCCACGTCCCGGACTGGACGGCGGCACACGCCCTAAAGCGCTCAAAGGATTACGCGGCGGACGCGTCCTGGGGATTTTTATTCGGAGGGGGATGGGGAAAAAAAGGACAAGCAAGACGGCCTCTGCCAAGGGAAACCTCATAAAAGTTATTGTTTTTCTACTTCATTATCTTTCAAAAGCGCGCACGAGCAGAGCGAGGGGGAAAAAAAGTGTTTTCGTTTATGGTTTCATTTTACACACTCTACACCCTCAGTCTCGCCCTCGTCCTCCCGCAGGACACGCTTTCAGCTTAGCTGTCAGACGCTTTGAGGGACAAGTGTTGCGTTTAGAACTCTCGCCGGGGCATTATGGCTCCACCTCCACCTCCTCAAGGCATTCATTCGCCAGAGGCCCCCACGGTGGGCATTATGTTGTCACAACGCTGCTCCTCCTCCTGTGGTCACAAATAAAATGTGTTTATGACGGATTATTATCCTTGGAACCTTTCGCATTTGATTCGGTTTAGCGTTTAGCAGTGCGTTTTGTAAACACTTTATTGGCGGATTTTTTAAGATAAGTTGGCACCTTCTACGATCATTACTTGTTGTTCTCAAGTAAATACTGTCGTTTCGGATTTATTTTTCAAAGAGTTATTTATTTGGTTTGGCTCTTAGATGTGTAAATTGGAAATTCGTTCAATTTCTTATGATAATCAGTAAGTTTCTATGAACAGCAAGTAACTAAGAGCAGTAATTAACTATGACCAGTAAGTATCTATGATCAGGATGTAACTATGAACATTAAGTAACTATGATCAGTAAGTATCTAGGACCAGGAAGTATCTAAGAGCAGTTACTAACTTTGAACACTTGTAAACAATGACTTGCAACTTTTGTAACACAACACATTTCTGAGACGTGGCCGGTAGAAGACACTTCGTTCCGGGGAGGTTAGAACCAGTTGGGAATCATAAGCACAGATGTGCGAGATTTGTTTTGGAGCAAGAGCAAGCTATTTGAATGAAACTATGGAGTTATTCTTATATATAATTTTACTAGTATATAAATCGGAGCATGGCGAATCGGTGAACTATATATAGACATATTTATACCTGATATAGGAACAATCGGACGATTCATAGAACTATGATCAGTAAGTACCTCTGAAGAGTAAGTATCTATAATCAGTATATATCTATGACCAGTAAGTAACTATGAGCAGTGAGTAACTCTGAACAGTAAGTAAGTATGACCACTAATTAACTATGATCAGCATGTAACTATGATCAGTAAATATCTATGACGAGTAAGTGTGTATGATCAGTTAATAACGTTGAACACTTGTAAACAATGACTTGCAACTTTTGTAACAACACATTTCTAAAACGTGGCTGGGAGAAGTCACTTCGTTCCGGGGAAGTTAAAACCAGTTGGGAATCATATGCACAGATGTGCGAGATTCGTTTTTGAACAAATTTAAGAAACTATGAAGTTATTCATACTAACTATAACTATAACTATATAATTTTACTGGTATATAAGTCGAAGCAAGGAGAATCGGTGGACTATATATACATATGTATGTATATAGCTTCCATAGAAACAATCGAAAAATTAAAAAAATAATAATTATAACTTTTACAGTTTTCAACAGATTTTCATAAAATTTAATATATATCCATTATATATTAATCTAGAGAATTGTGTACAATTTTATGAAAATCTGACTATTACATCATATAGCCTTACATCATTAGCCTTACTCTATTAAGTTTCTAATTACACGTTGTTTTTTTTTAGTCACGAGCTCAAAACTCATTGAAGGAATCATTTCTGACCCTATAAATCATATATATTCTTAATCAGCATCAACAGCCGAATCGATCTAGCCATCTCAGACTGAAAAAATTAAATTTTAATTTTTTTCAAAATTTTACATTTTAATATTGTCAAAAATTTGCACGAAAAACTTATCAAAACAAATAAAAATTTTAAAATTTTTAATTGAGTATGCAGTTCTTTTAAACTAATAAAAACTAACATAGTAAAGCTTTCCGAATTAAAATTAATGATTTTTTGACCGAGTTATGAGATTTTTAAGATTTAATTAGAACAAAAAATTTCATATAAAAATATAGATAAATATCGGTTAAAATGTTGCAATATAATTTTAGTCAGAAGCCTCAAACGCTGTGAAAGAGTCATTTCCGACCCTATAATGCATATATATTCTTGATCAGCATCAACAGGCGAATTTTTCTGGCTATCTCCGGCAGAAATAAAAAATTTTTCAAAAATTTTCCATTTTCCATCGTTGAAATTGTCAAAATTTGTCAAAAAAAATTTGAATTTTTTTACATTTTAAACTGAGTATGCAGGTTAAAACTATAAAAACTAACATGGGAATGTTTTCCGATTTGAAATTAATGCATTTTTGGCCGAGTTACGAATATTTTAAACTATGATTTGTCGAAAAATTGCCATTTATAAATTTTAATATTTTAACGGATTACCGATTCGATATATTGAAGTTAATATATATATATATATATATATATATATATATATATATATATATATTCTATACGATATTGAGCCCGCGTTATCTATGTGTATTTATTATATCACACCCTTCATCTTGATACATATTTGTTTATACCTAATAGATATAGATGTACGATTTATGGGACAGTAATGATAGGGTAAAATTTTTATGTTAAAAGTTTGTTTCTTTATTAGAGCTCCCTTCATATTGTTATTAGAATCTCTGTCTGATTTTTACCATCTCCATTGAACCTTATTTTCAGTTAGTGGATATTTTGTTTTGTAATATATAATATAATATAATAATATATATAATATATGTATATTCTTGGACTTACCCAACGCATGACACTGTAGTATCTTGGTGCTTCCTTCGCTCACAATCGACCCCGAGGACGATGGATGCGTGGTAAATCGTGGGGCCTGAAGTTGCTGCTGTTGCTGCGGCAGCAACTGTTGATGCGGCTGCTGCTGCGACTGTTGCTGTTGCTGCTGCTGCGAAGGAGCCAGCTGCTGCTGCGGCTGCGGATTGGCATCTGCAATAAAGGGAAAAAGGCCAAAATAGAGTTTAGTTCATGTTGTCAATGCAAGGAGAAGAGAGAAGCGGCAGCATTTAAGGAATTTAATTATGGTCAATGGGTTGCTAGCCACACAAAAAAGAGAGACTAAAGGCCAATATAGAACACCACAATATTGGCAGTTACAAATTCAGATTTAATAAATAAGCTAGATCAGTGGATTTTTCACAGGAATAAATCTCCACAATAAACGCTTGATAAAACCAATGCCGAATTGAACATTAACCGGATTTACTTAAAAGCTTTGATAACTCTCCTCTCCTCCCCCCCTGCAAACCGATTCGTACGGTTTTGGCATAAATCGAAGGGCTTAAAGATGAAAATGTTTGATTTATGGCACACAGCAGTACGAAGGGAGGATAAAAAAACAAAAGCCGAATGGAAAATACGAACCCCCATCCCATAAATATATATATATATATATGGTATATACCGAGATCGATTGCACTTGCATTTTATTTCCCATTTTTGTGAGGTTTTTCACCCTCTTCACCTTTTTTTAAATATTTTTTTGGAACAAGTAGGAGGACTCCAGGTGGAGAAAGTCCAACAGGAACTACAACAATATGGCAGAGGGCACCACACACCCAATAAATTGCAGCCTTTAATAAATAAAAACATTTTATATATTATTTCATTTTGTGGAAAAAATATTAAAACATACATTTCCCAAATTTTTCTATACTTTTGTTTACATTTTATTTACATTTTTATTTGCATTTTTATTTACATTTTTATTTAATTTGCCCACGCAAATTGTACACAAAACTGAAATCGAGAAGTTCAATGGGGGAATACAGTGTATTTCGATTCGAAATGAAACAAAACAAAGTCAGAAAAAAAGAGGAATAATATTAAGGGATCGAATATTTGATGCCCTCTAGCTGCACAAAATAAAATAGTTAAAAATATATAAAGAATACAAGAGGTATTTGTTAATTTCAAATGAAATGAGAAACATTTTTGTTAATAAAAACATTTTATGCACCTCATTCACTCGTTAAATCAAGAATACCCACAAAAGAATAACATTCACTTCATTTTTTGCCCCATTACAAGTACATATTTTGCAGTTTGGTTTTGTGGGATTATAAATTCGTTTTCAATGCAGACACAGAGACTGCCATATTTTACACATTTATTTGTTCTTGTTTGGTGTGGGGGGAGTGTATTGGTTAAATTATTTTTCATAAATATTTGCCATTTATATGCATAGACACATGGTGTAACAATGATATCAAGAGCAATTATCAAAGGAGGCGAAATTGCCATTCATCGTCGAAAGGAATCGGAATCGGAAGCTGCAACTGCAACTGCAACTGCAACCGTGTGTCGCCCCCTTTCGATGATGATTCTGTAAGAGTAAATTATTCAGAATACATAATAGCATATGCATGAGATGTTTGCATACATTTTTGGCCACCAATAAACACAATTTAATTGGTTTACATTCCCCAGTTGGATCAAAGGAGATACATTTTAATGGAGTAGAGCCTCCGCTCCTCCAACACGCAAGTGAAATAATTAGGCATTCTCTAGCAAATAATAATTAATATTCATGTACCACAAATAATTTGAACAATTTTTCCACCTACATACACAAACACAAAGGGGGGACACAAAGGACACGAGTTAAACAAGTTAATTGATAGGTCAAGTTTTGAGTTAATTTAACATAATTTGATTTTAAATTTCTATAGTGCACACACTTCTACCTGGAAACTGGAAAATTATGCAAGCAGGTAAGGTTCTATTATTATTGTCGAATATCGGTTTTCAATTAGTTTTCAGTGTTAATTGTTGGAAAATTGTGTCTGGTAGAGAAATTTCATTACAAGAACAATTAGAGATGTAAACAGCTAGAAATTTTGGTTATAATACAGAATTTACTCAAACAAAATCAAGTTTAGTTTAGGCAAAAATTCATGAAGATTCATGTTCAGTTTATTCTGTTTATAATGGTAAAAATGTTTAATAATATGTGAGTTTAGTTCTATAACCATTTTATATAAAGAAATAACCTAAACCCATTTGAAATAGATACCAAAACTTCTGTCCTAAATCTATATCAAAGTGTAATTTAACCATAAATACACTTTGTTTACCGTACACAACTGTACTTTCGAAAACCACTGAAGGCCCCCCTTAGTGTTGACAGGCAGCACACTTGGCCAACAATCTTGAAACCGCTAAGGATGCCAATCAATTGGTCAACTGCAGCATTTTGCCCCAATGCGCTTGTTGATCCTTAGGACTTGTCCATCGTGCGAATAATGTCGATTTCTATGATGGAAATGGGTATGGAGGATGGAGGTGCCGCTTTCCCAAGTGCCGATGGTGTTGATGAGTGCACTTCTCACTAAAGGCGACACCCCGTAAATGTGTGTGTGGTGTGAGTGTTCCAGTTGTTCTAGTTGTTGAGCCCTTGTTGGGTTTCAGCCCCGAGTCAATGACGCTTTGCCACAGGCTACCGCCAAACCCAATCGGCCAGAGGCGTTGCCATGATGACCAACCGATGAATGACCATACCATCCTCAGGCACTGAGATAAATTGGTATTGAATTCATTTGATTTCCTTTGATTTCATTTATTTATCCTAATACTATAATACTTTTTAATTGCTGCATCAGTCACTTTTATTTAAAGCCAGTTATTTGTGTGTATATAAGAGTTTTCAAAGGACTTTCCTTAATGGGAATTAAAGTGGATGAATAAGAATGAATAATGAATTGGCTCATTAAATATTTGGGTTCATTTTGGAATACTTTCTATTCTTTAAAACCTCAAAAAATGCTCTCCAAAAATATCTATCCAAGTAGTTTCTTTAAGGGGAATTGAAGTGGATGAATAAGAATGAATAATGAATTTCTTTATTGAATATTTGAGTTCATTTTGGCGTATTCTATTCTATTCTTTAAAAACCTCAAAAAATGCTCTCCAAAAAATATCTAATATTTCCTTTCCCCTGTCTTTATAGAGTTTTCTAGTGTTTTGAAGTTCTTAAGCTATTTTATATATATTTCAATAAATTTATATCCTATTCTTGGCTTATAAAACTCTTAATTTTCACAGAATTAAACCCCCCTTTTCGATCTGAATAGTTTACATTTTGCTCACTGTGCCCCCTGCCATTTGTCCTGCTGTCAAACAAAGCAGGCGTTAAATTGCCATCATCGAGGTGGGGAGTAAACATGGGCAAAAGGGTTAGATGAGTAGTGTTGTAAGTGTTGTTGTGGTTGTTGTTGTTGTTGTTGGTGTTGTTGTTGTTGTTGGTGTTAAAAGGGAGATGAGGTGTAGCCAGGTGGAAATCTCTACATACTATACTACATATCGCACTCACTGTCTCTGGCACGCTCTTACTTGCTGCACAACAAGCCCGGGGTTTTGCTTTTCCTTTGCTCTGGTCGAAGGTTAGCTTTGGTACTTCCCCCTTTTGGGGAATTGGTATTACCCCCTTCCCCCATCTACACCCCATCATTGGCTTTTGTGGTTTTCTGCGCATGCGCAGCCCACCGCGAATTCCATTTTGCATGGCTTCTCTCCATATATCGGACACATGATATGTGCTGTGGCAGTTACAGGTCGAACGACCTTCTTGGCCAAACTTCTAGGGATGGCAATGCAAAAATCGAAGTCTATATCAATTTCAATATCAATATTTAAGGGATATTTAAAGTAATATTAAAATTTCCAGATACGAATTTAGGAGGAAAATGCGTTTGAGAAGGCAAAAAATATCAATATACCGATAAAGTATTAATATTTAACGCCCTGTTCGATAAGTGTATAAATATATATTTAAACGTTGAGATATACATTTTTGATATAAATCAAATATTTCAACTTTGCAATAGAAATATTTTCGATAAATCGTTTAACTTGATAAATGAATCTTTCAACGTTTTAATAAATCGATAAACTGTTTAATTTATAGAACCAATGTAATCGGAAAAGGCAAGAAAATACTTAAATATAAATTTTTTCAGTTATTTTGGATAATATTGAAAATTAAAAGCTAAAACTACATTTTTCTTTATTTAAAATTTCGATATATTACATTATTCGATATTTTTCATATGATATTGATTGCAATATATTTATCGATATACCTTAAAAGACCCTTTTGCTTCGATCTAGACCAGATCAGCTTTATTTCAAGCGATATATCGTCTATGGAGTTTTTCTCACCTCTCCCAAGCTCTCGTGTGTCTCCCCTTCACCTTAACGCCTCCTTGGCTGCTGTGAAAACTAAATGTGTGGCAGCTGCTGCTGCTGCTGCTGCTGCTGTTTTTAGTGATGCGCTCAATTTGCAACACGCACTCAAGTGCTGCAGGCTGACAGGCAGGCAGACAGGAAACTGTGTCAGCCTCCGTTTGGGAGGCTTGAGCCTTGTGTGCCTCATGCAGCAATTGCAACCCGCAGCCTCGGCTTTTGTTGCTGCATTTGTTTGTCCAATGATGCAAGACACACACACAGGACACACACAGGACACACACAGGACACAGACAGGATAGGACACCCAAGGAGCCAGCGAGTAACTTCCTCATGCGACAACTCAAGCTAATGATAAAATGCATACAACATGGGCTCAAGTGGGTGTGTGTTTCTGGGTGGTCCTCTCGGGTCGCAGGTCACCTTCCCTAAAAGCACACACAACCCACACACAAAACACACACACTTGAATCTGATATCTACTTGGATGAGGGATAAACCAAAGATGAGCTGCAGGGTTTCTCCAAAAGGGGAAGTGATTTTAAATACGCAGAGATCCTGTTGATATTCCCCCTGCTGCCTTTCAAGGAGTGCTTCATGTTTGTTCTTTCTTTTTTTTCTTCTTAAATTTAAATATATTTAAATATGAAACAAGGAAATCAGTGACAAATATAGCACTTTGTATAAAGTGTAATATTTATTCTTAAAATTGTACAAAAAACTAAGTGAGTTCTCAAGACCGAATTACATTTCATTTGAAACCCTTAAGCTTGGTTTTATGAATTCTTTCTGAAGAAACAATTTCTTCTTAAATTTAAATATAAAAAACAAGGAAGTCAGTGATAAATATAGCAATTTGGTAATAAAGTATAGTATTTATTCTTGAAATTGTACAAAAACTAAGTGAGTTCTGAAGAACGCAACCCTAAAGCTTGGTTCAAAAAACTCTTTCCAAAGAAACAATTTTCCCTCTTAGGGTTTCCCCTTTTTCATTTCAAGTAAACCAACAAATTTTGATACATCGATGACTCACAGACCCATAGATCATGTTACAAACATGGCAGCAGTTTTGTTTCAGTTTCGTTTATGGTTCTCTGATATTTTTTAACACGCTCCAAGAAGGCCCAGAGCTCTTTGGCTGGCCGTCAATCATGAGAGAGAGAGCGGGTTCTGTGTGTGGCCGGGGGAACCCCCATATATATATATTCCTATATACCACATTCAACTTTCGAGAGTCTCTCAACTAATTTTCATGTTGTCTGCACGCGGGACACGGCACATCAATCAAACTTTAACCCGCACAAACACAATTCAACTTGATTTCTTTCGCGCTGCTCTCTCAACCCCTTTTTTCCTACAGCTTTTTAACCCATATATATAACTCTTTCTATATATATGTATATATTTCCCGGCTGAAAAATAGTTTCAGGAATTGTAAACTTGCAAGTGTAAATAAATTATGCTAGGTGGGAACTTTTGGCCAACATTTTCTTGAAAGTTTCATGTGGCTTTTTGGAGAGTGAGTTGGTTTTAGGAAAATGTGTGCTGAGAGAGTTATATTCTCTTGTCTAAGTAATATACTTTTATTAGACGTGATTTCAAATCTCTAACGAAAGTGAGTATTTCTTTAAAAGTATTCTAACATTTTTATAAATGTTCTCAAATTAAACCAAAAAATGTACCCTTAATTTGTTCAATTATTTCTCCTTTTTCCCTATCCAGAATTTTCCTAAACATTTTCCACTCTGCCTATTTTCCCTCCCCTTTTTTTCGGGGTACCGCCCCTATATATATATATATATATATATAGGCGGCACATGCATGTTAATGATCTCTCATTCAGGTTCAGAATGGAGCGGGCGGGATTACGGGAAACCGAAAGATAAATGGGCAGCAAATTTTCAATAATAATGAAAACGTTCACCCTCCCTCTAAAAATAGTTGAAAGGGAGAGTCAGGGGGGGAAAATGTTCAGTAATTATAGACATCAACTGAAGTGCGGTCGCATTTCCCCGAGGGTTGTGGGAGATTTTCCCGAGTCAAGAAGCGAATAATTTATACGAAAAAAGTGGCCAATAGGGAAAACTCTAGCACTCCTCTACCACCACCATTAAGCCACACATGTGACGCCTTAAATTAAAACTTAAAAAGCTGGCAAAAGAGAAACCAAGTTTAGAGTTTGAGTGGCAGTTGTTTTGTTCTTCCTTCCTTGATATTCCCAAAAGCTAAAAACTAGTGAAAACATGGCATTAGGTTTCAGGTTACACTCTCACAGAATAATGTTCTTTGATAACAAAAGGAAATTATAATCATGGCTAAATTATATAGCAGAAAATGTAAATCAGAAAGTGGGAGTTAGGTAAGCCCTAGGGAATTCCTTAGTGGTTATTTTTCTTCCTATAGAAATGTTTGAGGAGTACATTTTATGAAATTTGATAAAGGAACTGAATCTTTTAATTAAGATAATATAAGCTATAAAAATTACTAGAATTTTGAAACCCCTTTAATAATGCCAACAAAATTAAGGTACAACAAACAAAATGTCATTGAATATTACACACAAAAACACACAGTTTTAAGGGTCTTTAAATTTCTAGTAATTTATGGAACATCGTAAAATAAATGTATCCTTAACCAAGAAATATGATTGCTTTAAATATACAAAGACAATTTTGTAAACCATAAAATGGTAATAATATCCAAATTAATTTCGTTTTTTGATTGTTTTATACTTTTCTTATTGTGAATGTATATTTTGTATAATAATAAATATTATTTCTTGTAATAAAATAAGTAAACAATAATTTCTTCTTATATTTGTTATGTTACCTGTTTTTCTTTTGCATTTTTCTATATATATTTTATTTTAAGTAATTTTATTTTATATTGTTTTTTCTTTAGTATATTTGTATTTTGTTTTCAGGTATTTAAAACAAAAAAAGGCAAACATATCATGGCTCTTAACATTTCATTTCACTTTTGTTTCGTCCAGCTGACGGTTTTTTGTCGTTTATCAAATGCAGTTTTCAGTTTTCCCAACCATTTACCAACCCATCCCGCCCCCGCAATAGTTTTATCTGCCCTTCTACCATTGCCTTTCCCATTTCCCACCCAATTTTCCATCCTATTTTCCATCCCCCCACCCTCTCTTACCATTTCCCTCTCCCGCAGCTGAAGCAGCCGTCGTTGACACGTCTCATAAATTTCATTGCTGTCGCTGGTCGGTCGCCTAATCCGCGTCTCTCTGTCTCTCTCTCTCTCTGGCTCTCCCCGTCCTTGTCACGTGAGAAA